ATAACCGCAATCGCTTTAATTAGCTTAAAAATGTGTCTAGTAATCCCTCCATACTAGGAGAGTGAAGATTTTCAAGGGTGTAAATTTTTAAGAGTTAACTCACCTGAAAACTTGTTGTGGCGGTTTGAATTTATAGCTCTAGAAACAAAGGAACACTTGATGACAGAGAAATCATCAGAGAGATATGTATCAGGGACGAACAAATGAGCGGAAGAAGATTCCGGCGGTTGCTTTTGTAGTGTTGGATCGGAATTAGATATGAGTATCGCAGAGATTGAATCTTTTCGACTACGCTTCGAGAGTGATGGTAATGGAGTAGACTGATCCTCCTCCTCAGAGATTAGAATATGATCTTCCATGGAAGAGAGAATTTGAATGAGCGCAGGATTATCGAGGAAGATGAGGAGGGTTCGAATTCGAAATCGCCGATAAACAATTTCAATTTGGGAACTTAAACTAATGTTTAGCTACAAAGATATATGTATTCATTATGGAGTGTTTGGGTGCAAACTAATCTTCATTCTTCACCATTTCAAATTTATTTGTAAAAGATTCATCTAATACACAAAAATAAATACCATGAGATTCATGCATGTTTTAATTTAAACAAATAATCTCCTAAGTTAGAATTAAATGTCCACAGATTAACTTGTTTAAGAACATATATCTTTATGATCTTGAATTTAAATTGCTTACCATTTTCCATTGCACTGTGTTTTTATTTTTGACTAGATGAAATAAAAAAAAATGAAAAACTACCATTTTGAGTAAATGCATATCTTCTACACATTGTATTTATAATATATTGTAAAACAACTATAAAAAAGCTCCATAATCATCCTCAATATAAATATTGTAAACTCAATTTTTTAGTTAATCTATACTACAATAATTAACAAAAATGGCATCTACGACGATGAAGATAATATTTTTGCTCATGGTCCTTGTTTTCGCTATAATTTGGTCTCGTTCGAGTGCTCAACCGACAAATCCTCAGGGGTGTTTGAATGCTTTTAAAAATACATCAAGTGGATGTTTCGAAAGCATTAAAGGTATTCTGCACGGACATATTCATGGGATCAAGAAAGAATGTTGCGGAACCGTTAGTGCAGTTTCTGGTTTATGTTGGCCATTGATCTTCCCGAGCATGCCTTACATTCGTTTTATATTGAAGGGTATTTGTACTATCAAATACTCTTTGCATTGATGTGTTTGAATATTTTTTTGTTTGACATTTTTAAAAGTGATATTTACTATAATAATAATAATTCTAGTTTCTCTTTAACAATCGTAAAGTAGTATTTTGTTTTTAACATTTGACATTTCATTAATCTTTAAAATATTTGTACATAATTTCTAAAGAAAATCGATGAATACATATTTTTATATCATCCGAACACATGCAAATAATTTGATACAATTATATACTTTAGAGACCAAATTATTTATTGCTATGCCCACTCTTCAATCATATACAAATACTCCAGAGAACTGGCAGATATCGTATTGTAGCGATGTCATCGGAATGAACTCCACCATTGAGAGACAAAGCGATTACTCATTGGAACCGACGGTTGAATGAAACAAACATGTATCATCGCCACATAATAAAACTAATTCCATTTGCGAGAGAAACTGTCTGATCAATGATGAATTAGTTGCAACAAATCGGGAAACAAACAATTCGTACCAAAATGAATTAAAAAAAAGCGATGATTGCCCATTGTTTATTCTCCAAAATCAACACCAACCTATCATCGTACAACAAATACCGAGACAATTCCAACATAACAAATGAAGTCAAAGTAAAGAACAAGGCTTCCATGAGATTGGCTAGATACGGCCAACACATCAAAATGTTACGTTTCGAAGAAATTGTTAGAAAATTATAAAGATGAGGAAATTGAACAATGAATATAAAAAAACACACATATCTACGGTGTTGACGTGAGCCGATCACCGACAAACAAGATAATGGAAGATGACGGTATCATCTTGTGCAACGACACAATGCAAATACCGGTTCAGAATCGAAGAGAAGAACGTTGCAAACAAAGAGGATCACCACGAACCATTGATATTTGGTTTTAGTTCGATCCATTATTATCAAACAAACTAAACAAAATAAAAAGAAGAAGTACGACCGATGTCGGATAAAAAGAAGAAGTACGACCGATATCACAGACGAGGTCGGCTGGAGAAACTATGCAAAAGTAGTGGCTTTGTTTGATTTCTGTCAACCTCTTTTTGTCTTGTCTTGAGAGAAAAACGGTTATGAACAATTGGTGATTATTTTTTAGTGTCACATTGTAAAGTAGTATATATAAATTTATTATAACTACAA